TAAAATTGAGCCGCATGAGTGGCAGAAGATAGTAACCAGTGAAACTGCACCAAGCAGGATTGAACCCTACTCATTGGTTGATGAGCAGGGGTTTAAATCTGGCTGCTTTGCCTTTGTGTGTCGGTTCTTAGCAGGGAACTGGTGGACACAACCAAGAGAGAATGGAACCTTGCCCATCAGTCGATATCGCCTGCTCATTGGAGTGACTTCAGTTGATTGGAAGGAAGGTGTGGTTTTGGTAAAATGGGCCGGGTTGGACCCTCTGGCAGTCCAATACAGTATTGTCCCGCCCTTGCCTTAGGAAGACTCGCCTCATTCTCTCTTTGGTGCCTGGCTATCACCCTGTAAAGACCTCCCTTTCTCCAGCAGACATTTGGCCTCTTGAGCTCCTCAGTTGTTAAACATCTACTTTGCAGAAGACATTCCTCTGTTTGAAGGCCTGTTGCTCCAGGGCCGAGTTTGAAAATCAAGAACATAGGAAGCTGCCTTATAGTGAGTCAGGCTATTGGCCCATCTAGCTCAGCATTGTCTACAGTTGGTTTGCAGTAGCTTCTTCGGGGTTTCCGACCAGGAGTCTCTCCCAAGACTACCTGAAGACTGAACCTGAGACCTTTCTCAGGCAAGGCAGATGTTCTTTCCCAGCATCAGAAAGGAGGGCAGAGTCCATCCATAGTTAGCAACTCAGCAGGCAAACAAGTCACCTTGCTACAAGCTTCTGCCTATGGTGAGAGGAGCTGTACAGTGGTACCTCGGGTTACATACGCTTCAGGTTACATACGCTTCAGGTTACAGACTCCGCTAACCCAGAAATAGTGCTTCAGGTTAAGAACTTTGCTTCAGGATAAGAACAGAAATCGGGCGCAGCGGTAACAGGAGGCCCCATTAGCTAAAGTGGTGCTTCAGGTTAAGAACAGTTTCAGGTTAAGAACAGACCTCCGGGACGAATTAAGTACTTAACCTGAGGTACCACTGTATTTCTATTTGAATTGTGGTAATTATTTCTAAATGTGCTTCTATGTGCATACATTAGCTCATGCAAATGTGTGTGTGAGAGAGGCATTTCCTTTTTGGGGGGGAACGCAGAAGCTATCTCCCATTGGGGTTGGGTGGTTGATGTTGGCATTGTTAGGATATTTCCGTTCCACCTTAAAAGGGAGCAGGCTTTGTGAGTCACAGAGTGCGTATTTCCTGTTCACAGGAAGTTTATGTTTTGTCTATTGCTTTCGTTTCTCTCTCTGTGCCTGAGACACCGAAGCAGGCAGTCATGTTTTCTTTGTTCTGACCAACGCTGAATAAAGTTGTAAATATGCTCTCCTGAGTGCATCTTTCGCTGTGCATTATCTGCTGATAGAGCGTGCATGAGCTCTGGAATGTGGCAAGCTATTTCTGGACCTCGTGTCGCTAATTGCTGATACTGTATCTACGGGAGATCGATGGACGTCCGGAGGCGACGTGGAGTCATGATGGACTTTGTCTCCCTGGCAGTATCCCAACAGGCATCCCTCTCAAGAGACAATGGAGTGTGCCTCCAGGGGTGAAGTCAAACTGATGCATTAGCAGCACCAAAGTGACCTCCCTGGAGGACACGCCTGGGCAGTGTGTTATGGGTAGGGATGGGGGAAGCCACAGAGGTCCTTCAAAATTTGTCCCAGAGAGGCATGAACCAGAACTTTTATGCCAATAGATGAGCACAACCACCAATTTTTATTTCTGCATCTCGGGGGATTTCCCCCTCTTCTCCCTCAAGGAAAAAGGATGAAGCCTTCAGGGAATTTGAGAGAAAGAGCATGGCAACATGCAGTTAGCCAGAGGGAGCTCCTTCGGTAATCTGCCTTTCTGTTGGGTCAGTGAAGTGAACACATAATGAGCTGAGTGAAAAGGATGCTGAATGGAGTACAAGGCAGGCCTATTTCATCTCCTTTGGCTCCTATTTCCCTGCCACCTGGAACAAAAGAGCAAGATTACTTTGCGCAGCCATAAAACTGAGTGTTTGTTCTCTGGACTTTATGTCATCGTTTCCCCCCCCCCACTCCCCCTAATAATAACTGAGGTTATTTCTCTCTCTCTCTGCATCCAAAGAATATGTCAACCACCTCTGAAGGGCAGGTGCTATAAGCAGAATCAAAAGTTGCTGGATAAGAAGAGAAATGTTTTGCAGGCAGATTCACACCACAGATTTAAAGCACTCCCAACACAAATTTAAAGCACATGGCCTCTCCCAGAGTCCGGGAACTGTAGCACGTTAATGGTGCTGGGAATTGTAGCTCTGTGCAGGGGAAACTACACTTCCCAGGATTCTTGGGGGGGGGGGGATAATGTGCTTTACATGTGTGTTGGGTGTGTTGCATGGCATGAATGTAAATGGAACAAAGTTTGATGTTCAAAACATTCATTCATTTTGCCATCGAGGTACACGATGCTCTATTCTACAGCATAACATAAGCAAAAAAAAGTTACCGGTAGGTTCCTGACTTATGTGTGCACATTTTAAAAACAGTAGGGATAACAGAGATGTAGGAGAGGAAAAGAGAGAAAAAGACAGTGTGATGTGATTGGCGTGCATATGAACAAACTCAGACACATTTATTGAGGCTGCAATCCTAAACACAGGAGTCAGCTCCAACTGGACACAGGGGGGTTAACATCTGACATAAGTGTGCATAAGAGTCTAGCCCAAGATGTTAATTTCAAACATAGGTTTTAGAGAATGGGGATTGGTGTAATGGTTGATGATGTCACAAAGACAGCAACAGCTCCCTTAGATCAGGGGAAAGCTGTGATACTCCTTTATTCTGTCTCTGGGGTGAAGGTTTTCTTGCTGCTTCCCCAAAACTCAGACTAGTAGCTTCCCCAGAAACTTAGCTTGTTGGTGATAGCTTCCCTGCCCATTCTAGGAAAGTTATTCAGAAAAGAGAAGGCAGAGAGATGTATGAAACACTATTGTTATTGAAGTTTTTATTGCATGCGATTAAATATGAAGATTGATTGCAGGGTTTGTTTGTTTGTTTTTCCTGGTGATGTTTCCAGCGTGCCCTCTGGCAGTGGCAAACGTTGCCCAGTTCTAAATGTGTTATATAAGGATGCTCCTACTTCTGTGAGCAGGAGGGCTTGGCCTGTAGTGCAGAGAGACAAAGCCTGATGTTGCTGGCCAGCAGGGACAATTAACAACCCCAGATTCCAGCCAGCAGTGGAAAGTGAGAATAAGTGCTCCTTTGTGTCCATCAATCCCCAGCTGCCAGGATCTTCCTGCCCACCCGTTTAACAAAAGAGGACAGAGGGAGAGCCTCTGGGAACTGGGTCACTGGCAGTTCCACCGCTGTACAGCCTGCTTAATTAAGGCAGAAAAGGAAACTCCCAAGCGGCTGGCAGTGAAGATTGTATGCCGAAGGAGCAGATAAAGTACCCCGCGTGTGCTTGGTGTGGTCTCAGCAAACAGGCACGGTTTCTTTGAGTCAAGGCCACTGCTGTATGCTTGTTCTTATTCCCTCTTGGCAAACAGAGCTGGCACTGTGTTCCCTGGAAGACTGAGACGTCTAACATAGGCAGTGAACACAATGCCAGCTTAAAAGGCAGCTAAGTCACTCTTTTTCTCCATTTGGGGAAAAGCACATAAACCACATGAAATAGCTCTTGCATGAAATAAACAATAGGAGATGAGATGAATTGTGGCTAACATCATGTATAGGTAAAAGGTAAATAGGAAAGGACCCCTGGATGGTTAAGTCCAGTCAAAGGTGACTATGAGGTTGCGGCGCTCATCTCACTTTTCAGGCTGAGGGAGCCGGTGTTTGCCCACAGGTCATGTGGCCAGCATGACTGAACTGCTTCTGGCGCAACGGAACACTGTGACAGAAACCAGAGCACATGGAAACGCTGTATACCGTCCCGCCTCAGCAGTACCTATTTATTTACTTGCACTGGTCTGTGTGCACAGCCCTGGTCTTGGTTAAGACCTGTGAGGCACCATCAAATTAAGTAAATAAAAATTAAATACTGCTACTGCCTCTGCTTTACCAACATTTGCAAGTTTTAGGACTCATCCACACTTCTGTTTGTCACATGATTTCTAGGTACACGACTAAGAGGATTTTCTTTTGTCCCACCGCTGTCCCCGGAAAAAACCCCTGCTGTTTACTGCTGAATCAGGGCGAATGTCAATCCGCAGAAAACCCGGCTGACATTTGTTCTGGTTCAACTAGTTTCCATGAGCCTGGTGTGGACATAAAAACTATGCAGAAGAAAGGGAAGAGATACAGTAATATATGCAGCCCAGTCCTGTGTGTGTTTTCTCAGGACAGTAGGACAGTTACTTCCATCTGCATGTACCACAGATATTGCAGCCTCAGCAGCTATGCAACGCTTTTCCTAAAGTGCTCAAAACACTTCAGACAAACGATCCCAGAAATACACACAACGATCTTGTAAGGTAGGCAAGCAGCAGCATTCCCACACGCATTGTAGCTGGCAAATAGTAATAATGCTGGTTCACCTATGGCTATTCATGGAGGAATGAAATTTGGACCAAACAAACAAAAAAAGTAATTCCAGCTCACAGCTCATTAATTTTAACCCGTGAACTACACCACCAAATGCCCATTGACTGAAAGCAACCCAGATCCTGGTGCCCAGGCAGGGCGAGCAAGCAGTTTTCCCCATACTGTAAGGCTGGGGGGGGGGGGGGACACGCTTGCTTCTGAGCACAGGAGCCAATAAAATATTTGAGGGGGCCAGTCTTTCCCCTCAGTTGATGGGCATTGCCATTGAAATGGTGTGCGTGCGCCATAGCTTTTCCCTTTTCTTGCGAGGAATCCTATTCGGAATAAGGGAATTTTCCTTAAAAAAAAAAGGGAAACGTTGACAGCTATGGCGTGCTCAGCGTCTTGTGATCGATTATGCAGGGCGGGGCTTACCTACCCCCCCCCCAATATTTTATTCAAGTTGGCCCCCCTGCTAAACAAGCGAGGGTGTGTGTGTCATCGCGCTGGCCGCCGCTCCGCACTAAGCGTCGCCAGCTCCCACAGCGTCCTGCTCCTTTAAACGCCGCCTGAGCGCCTTGTAATCCCCGCCGAAGCGGGGAAGGTCAGCGCGGACAGGGAGCGGGGCGCCCGCCGCCTTGGGGTGGGGCGAGCGCAGGTTGGCGCGCTGGCTAAAGGTCGCCCTGGGCTGCTCCCTTTCCAGATCCGCTTTCGGAAACTTTCACGCGCAGGGCGGATGTTCAGCTGGGCGGCGCGGCAACAGCTCTTCTCCAGGCAAGCGCTGCCCAACTTGCGCACCGGAGCACTTTGCGCGTGGGCTCCGCGCAGCATCCCCCGCTGCACCCGACGTCTAGGCAGTCCGCGTGGACTTGCCCCCGCCCACCTTCCTCCTATTAATTCCCATTATTGAATTCACCGGATCCACTCCGGTCTCAGTCCCGGATCGAGCGCCTAGTTTTCGGCGCTGCGCAGGTCAGTCGGCGTCGCCCTTTCGGGCAGGATCATGCGGGCGCGCCCCTGCTGGACGCTGCGCGCGGGGCTGCTGCTGCTCCTGGCCGCGCCGGAGGCGGAGGGCGGCTGCGCGGCGCTGGGGCGCTGCTGCGCGGGCCGGAGCATGGCGTGCGTGAGCACCGGCTGGAGGGCGGACGGGTCCCACGGGTCCTGCTACTGCGACCAGGCGTGCCCTTACACCTTGGACTGCTGCCAGGACTACCGGCAGGTGTGCCCAGGTGGGTAAGGAGCAGGAGGAGCAGGGGAGGGGGATGGTCCAGCTCAGGTAGGATTAGGCATGGGGGACCTGTGGGTGTTTTCTTTTCTTGGATTCCCCTCATCTCTCACCATGGGGTTTGGTGGCTCGGGCTGATGGGAGCTGGAAGGCCACAGACTCCCGCTTCCAGTGATAAGTCAAATTCAGCACCTGCAAGGGGGCTGGACTAGATGACCCCTGGGGAACCCTTCCAACGCTACAATTCTATGACATGCTTAGAAAGAGCAGTGCCTTTTTTTCAGAGTGCCGGATCCCACCCAGAAGGGGAACTGCGATTGAAACTCAAGGGTGGAAAAATGACTTGGTGTAGCCAATTCAAATGGACTACAGCCCTTGTGTGAATACTTTTTGGCTTATTGTCCGGATGAGAAACCTGTGACCTTCCAAATGCAGACTCTCATCTGCCTCATCTTGTTAGGGCTAGGGCTGTTGGAAGTTCAAAAATCTCTGCAGGGCCTGAGGTTCTTCATCCCTGAATTTAAGAGTACTAGAGGGAGCTGGAAGTTACTGAGCCCAGGTGGAAAATTACAGTATTGACAATCTACTCCTACCTATGTTATTTAAAAACTAAATCCCACTGATTTGCACAGGAATTACTCCCAAGGCAGCTGTTCCATGTGGTCTTAAACATGTTTTACTTGGAGATAAGTACTCTGGAGTTCAGCAGGGGGCTAACACCTGAATAAAAGTGTTTCCTTTTAAAGTTAGGATTGCAACTTGGGGGAAGCGATAGTGGCTTAAGCTTTCTTGTGTTGGAAATCAGATACCAATGAATCTCAATGTTCTTGGAGGACATTTGAGTGCTGTTGACATGTGTATTGTCATAAACAGGGAGAGTTGAATTCAGAACTTTTTCTTTATTAAAAAGATCAATAACATTCTGTGCAAAAGCATAAGCTATGCAAATTGTGCTGTTTTATCCTGCTGTTGCAAGGCATCAAAAAGAGCTAACACTGAAGCCCGTGTGCACAATTATTCGTAGAGTTTGGAGCATATGGTACAACTCAAGGCATTTGTAATGGCCTGGAGTAACTTCAGTGGTTCTCTTAATACTACTTAAAAAAAAATAAATCTCTCACACACTGAGCATATTAACATCTTCTTCCTGTTCACTAGTACAACAGAACCCAAATATTGGCAAATAGGAATTTCCTAAATCTTGACTTTTCAAAAGCTGAGGTTTTCAGCATATTGGATATTTTACTTAATGCAGAATTCTGCTTGTGCGCTCCCCCCACCCCCACATGCAACCCATCCCATCCTTATAATAATCTATACTTCCCATAACTCTTAGTAAAACTTTCCAGGAGACAAACATTGCTATTTTCTATTAGGCAATTGAAAACATGGGGTCCTTTTTAAAAAGGGAACATATGTAAAAGAAAATTCAAGCAAAACAGAATTATCCCTCTCCACAAAATGCAGGTTGCTTGATTAGCCTTTATTAGATCTACTGAAGCGTAAGTCCCTTTCTTATATGCCTCATCAATCCATACAGTGGTACCTCAGGTTACACAGGCTTCAGGTTACAGACTCCGCTAACCCAGAAATAGTGCTTCAGGTTAAGAACTTTGCTTCGGGATGAGAACAGAAATCGTGGCAGTGGCACGGCAGCAGCAGGAGGCCCCATTAGCTAAAGTGGTGCTTCAGGTTAAGAACAGTTTCAGGTTAAGAACAGAACTCCGGAACGAATTAAGTACTTAACTCGAGGTACCACTGTATTCTCAACTGGTGCCATCTTGTGGCTTTTTGAAGAAATGGCACAATATTGTCCTTTGCAAGTGTCACTCTTGGCTTTCTGCATGTACTGTGGTAGTTTGCAGATAGGTGACGTGACTTGCTGACACTCAGGTGGGGTGTTCGTGGCAAAAGCCAGAAATTGGAGAGCTGTTCTTTTCACCGTAGTCATCTTTGCTTTGGCAACTGAGAGGGCTGGAAGATGTCTGAATCCACACATATACTTGGATTGAAAACTGTGCTTTGCATTACACGTCCAGAGTAATTGTGTGGAATAGGGAATCGTTTTATATTCCTGCATGGTTACGAAGCTCAGGCTGGCTGGTTCTCCCAAGTGCAGTGGAATGAAGTGGAAGAATGCTGAGGTGGTAAAATGAGCTGCCTCACTTCATCCTGCTGTTGGAGAACCACATTTTTTTAAAAAAAGGAATTCCCAATGTAAACAGACAGATGACCCTGTAAGTAGAAAACTTGGCAGTTTAAAGTGGTATCGTGATTGCTTCAAACACATATTGTGAATGTGGGCTAAGTTGGGACACCTTAAATGCTGGCACTCCTGCTTGGCAGGAATGGATCAGACTTGCTATATTTGAGAAGAATGCCAGCCTGGAAATGGATGGAATAGATAACAATTGTGAGTTTTGTCCTCCTCCTCCTCCTTCCTCAGTGGTCTCCTGCGTGGTCTCTGAGTGGAGCGAATGGAGCAGCTGTGCAGAGACTTGCAAGGCAGCGTACCGTGTGAGGAGGAGGCGCATCATCCGGGAGCCGAGAAATGGCGGCGAAGCCTGCCCTCCTCTCGAGGACAAGGCTGGCTGTTTTGAGTATTGGACTCAGCAAGGAACAGAGTGCAAGCAGCCCTTCAGTAAGTGGAGCAGGGCACGGGTGGAGTGGGGGGGACGGACAGATTCTTGGCAGAAAAAGGGTTTCCAAGGCCTGCTTTTGGATGCATTCAAAATTACATTGTACCCGCTCCCCCCCCCAAAAAAGTCTTGTTAGAGCATTTCTTCTGGTTACTTTTGAAGAGTTTGGATTTGATATCCTGCTTTATCACTACCCGAAGAAGTCTCAAAGCGGTTAACATTCTCCTTTCCCTTCCTCCTCCACAACAAACACTCTGTGAGGTGAGTGGGGCTGAGAGATTTCAAAGAAGTGTGACTAGCCCAAGGTCACCCAGCAGCCGCATGTGGAGGAGCAGGGACGTAAACCCGGTTCACCGCACTTAACCACTACACCACACTGGCTTTTGTTTTGTTCTAAGCTGAAGAAAGTTATTGACTCATGTCAAGTGCCTCTCGCTTAACAGGGGCACCCCATATTTGGCTGGGTTTCTTCCGCTGCTCTGCTGGTGTGATAGCTACACAGAATCACAGAAGTTGGAAAGGGACCACAAGGGTAATCTGGTTCAACACCCAGCAGTGCAGGAATCTTTGGCCCAACATGGGGCTCAAACCCATGATCCTAAGATCAAGAGTCTCATGCTCTACCGACTGAGCTATCCCAGATGCAAGGAAGAAAGTGCTGCAGTCTATAATGCCCCATGCTTAATTCTCGACACATTCATAGAGTGGCAAAAAAGGAGATGATCTTGCCCTGCAGCACACAAAACAGCTTTAGATGCATGTTTGTGCTTGGAGAGCAGTTGCATACGTCCCTCTTCTAGTTCATCCAGAGTAAAATGGGATGGTGCAAAGTGGCATCTAGTGTAAGGATTGGTCAAGGTGTTCTTCTGAGTGCCTTTGCTGCAGAGCAGCCAAAGAAGTCTGATCACTGTAGTCCATGCATACGTAACCTTGAGGCTGGATTACCACAGTGCACTCTAGGTAGGGTTGCCCTTGGCCTCCCTCCTAGTTCCACTGAAGGTTGCCTTCCATCAGCAGAAGAGCTGAATGCCATGTGAGGTGCCACGAGACTCTGTGTTGCTTTTGCCGCAACAGACTAACATGGCTGCTTCTCTGAAAACTGTGCTTGTACAAAAGGCTATGTTGGGGCTGGGCACCATTCAAATTATGGCTGTCACCTGCTTAGAGAAATCACAGCTGATAATCCTGTGAGTTTAAGACTGTGAGTCTAACCCAAGTTACCTGGGAGTAAGCCCCACTGAATTCAGGTGGACTCATTTCTGAGTAGAGGGGGTTAGGATTGTGCTGTTGGTATATTGATTTAATTAAATCTCCACGTGAGAGACAACGGTAACATTCACACATTACATTCATACAAACTTTGTCCACAAATAGTTGAGCTATACATGTGTACCGTAATAGGTAAAGATACCCCTGACTATTAGGTCCAGTTGTGGACGACTCGGAGGTTGCTGCGCTCATCTCGCTCTATAGGCTGAGGGAGCCAGCATTTGTCCGCAGACAGCTTCTGGCCAGCATGACTAAGCCGCTTCTAGTGAACCAGAGCAGTGCACGGAAACACTGTTTACCTTCCTGCCGGAGCGGTACCTATTTATCTACTTGAACTTTGACGTGCTTTCGAACTGCTAGGTGGGCAGGAGCTGGGACCGAACAACAGGAGCTCACTCCGTTGCGGGGATTCGAACCGCCAACCTTCTGATCAGCAAGTCCTAGGCTCTGTGGTTTAACCCACAGCACCACCCGCGTCCCACATGTACCGTAATACATGTTAATATTTAGTGAATATATAGTCTGCGTGCTTGTGCACACAATAGTTGAGCTGTACGAATGAACAAGTTCAACACTTTCACACTAAGACTTGCGCACTTGTAGAGACCGCCTACATCCGTGTTCAGTGCAATGTGTGAACAACACTATCCAGAATTTTAAACCAGTGGTGGGCAGAATACAGGCTTATTGGATCCCGTGTCAGATGCTGTATGTCTCTGAATACCAGATGCTGAGAATCAAAGTGTGTGTGTGTGTGGGGGGGAGTGCTATTGTGCTCTCACATCCAGCTTGTAGGCATACCATAGTTATCTGGTTGGTCACTGCGAGAACAGGATGCTGGACTAAATGGACCTTTGGCTTGATCCAGAAAGGCTCATCTCATATTCTCCTGTTTTACTAGATCCCCAAGAGCTATTAACCACAGGCAGGTGCAACAAGTCTCACAGTTAGAATTCAAGAACAGGGTGCCTCTGAGCACATTCTGAGCCTAGGAAATTGTCTGCAGCACAGGAACTGAACTGAGTCCATAGCCCTTTCTCACAAAAGCATGGTCCTAGTTGGAGCTTTTTATTTCAGCAGCCTAATTTAGGTGGAACAACTCATTTTATTGCAGATATTGTCAAAACAACTGGGTGTCAAAAATCTTTGCTGTGCTACTGGAAGCTTTGCCCACCCTTTCCCTAAACAACCGGCCCTTTTCTGGTGTACTTGTTTAGACTGGTTATTATTTTCCTTCTGACTTTTTATTTTTTTGGTTTGCTTTGAAAAAAACCACAAAACAAAACCTGTGTTTCTGAGACCAAAATAAAATCTGTAGGCTTCAGAAGAGCTTAAGTGGTATATTTCTAAATTGGGATATTATTGAAATAGCTTGCTCCCTCCAGCATAGTTTCTGGGATGATAATTAGCAGGCCTGTTTGTACGGACAACAAGGGGGGATTTGTGGGCGGAGGGTACCCATTTCTGCCCAGCGGAATGATGAATAATCACCAGCGGTCTGAGAATGTGGGAGAGAACTCTCTCTCTCTGATTTCCTGCCAGAGGGAAAATGACACGGCATTAAAGACCGCAAATGTCCCAGTTGTTATTGTTCTGCAGATAAAGGCGGGCTCGGGGCACCGTTGTCACTTATCATGTCTGCTGTGTTTTCCTTTTTCCCTTTGATGTGAGCAGTCCCAGCATTAATAACCACTGGAGGCTATGGGAAAGCGAGGAGAAAGCGAGCTGTGTCCATTGAGAATGAAAGAGCCGGGTAAGTAATGAGCTGCTCGAGGACTCTACAGCGTTGCTGTCCTCCTGTGGGTCACACTATGGCCTGGAGCTCATATAATGAAAAGACACAAGTCTAGATTCACAGGCCTGGAAGACATACTGGTACAGCCATTGGCCCATTTCCCTGATGCAAAGCCAACCTCCAGCACACATGTTCTTCCATCCTCCTGCTTATACACAGAACAGTGCTTTAACCTGCACTTTTCATTTATATGGTGCTGTCACGATCCCTGTAAATACACCGCTGTAAATCCTTAATAGGCCAAACACATTTTGACAAAGTCTTCCTCGGCGGCCTTATTAAAAACGTTAACAATTCAGCCGGTTCTGAGCTGCAGCCGCTTAAGGGAGGAGAGAAAAATATGCATAGGGTCCTGAATAAGTACAGATGTCTCCCCAGCTTATGCACGATGGACTCATGTGCAACCATGTATATGCATGCGCTGTTATGTACTGAAGTTCTCACCCTGGGCCAGCAGGGGGATACTGTAGATAGTTTTCACTCAGGTCCACATATGCAAATAAGGGATTGAAAGTGACATTCAGTGATTGGATAGTTACAGAAAGTGGTTACTGTTGCGTTGTAGTGGAGCTCTATATAAGCAAGCTGGCTGAACCCTTCAGGTCAGTTCTGTTCTAGCCTGTGAATAAACAAGAGCTGTTTGAAGAATCGCTGTGTCGTCTGATATGTTCACCCACAACTTAACATGCACAGTCCTAGGAAGTATTTAAATAAATTGATTAAAATTTCAAAAAGGGCAAAATGGCCCCAAAAGAGCAGGAAAGGAGCTAGCAATCCCATGAGCCTTTGCACCAATCTTTGAGGCCTGTGAAGAGTTGGGCGTTGGAGAAAGGAGGTTTGGAGGGAGCGATTGTTGTGGAGTTTGGTGGATTTTTGTGAATTTTTGGCAGAGGTTTTGGTCGTTTACAGGCTTTATAGATGGTGTTTTCCACCAAACGTGATTTCACGTTTATGAGTGGTACCTGGGAACGTAATCCCTGTGTAAGTGGAGAGATGCCTGTACTGCAGGTTGGCCAAATAAATTTCAAAAAGCCTCCTGCAAATAATGGATGTAGAGTTGAAGGGTGGTAATTAGCTCAGTTTTACTCTTGAGTATACCCACTGGAACTTAGTCCTGTTCATTAATTTTAGCAGGCATAGTCTTGAGTAAAACATCCCACCTGAAGACCTTGTTGAAATGCATTTGGCCCAGTAAGTATTTATAGTGTGACACCAGAGGTACTGCACCTCCCCGACACGCAATGCACATATTTATTTTTGTAAGTAAGCCTTACACAGACCCTGGGTGAGCGTTTGGAACCCCTGGAATCTTGCACAGTTCAGAGATTGGGGTGGCATGCAACCCTATTCCCCTCTCTTCCCATGGCAGGTACTGTGTCGAATTTCAGCTCATGGCCATCACAGAAGGATGTCTGCGTGGGAACAGCTCTTACACTCATTGGATGAAATATCTCAGCGAAGGACATCTGGTGTGTGTTGAGTGCCAGCACCCAGCTTTGGATTCCAGGAACCTGCACTGCTCAGGGGATGGCAGCGGAGCCAAAATGTAAGAGCTGACCTTTCTGCTTTTGCTCAGTTGGAAATGCTTTGTTGTTGGGAAAATTGCAACCCCGTCTTCTAAACTTCTGTACTGCCTAGCACAGGGGTGGGGTGACTTTTTCAGTTCCGGGGAGCTGCATTTGCTTCTGGGCAACTTTCGGGGGTGGGGTCACATGGTAGTGATGGGTGGGGCAAGAGGCAGAAGCGGACTAGGCAATGAATGTGAATTTGAGTTACTTTTTACACACACTGGCTGTAGAAAAGAAGATATGCAGGTGTGGGCTGGCAGAGGGCAGATTGAGACTGGTGGAGCAGCATCCCATTTGCCTCAATGGACCAGCCTTTAGGTCTTTAAAAGTAAGCACCAGTGCCTTAAATTGACCTCAAAATATGAATGCACATCCTTCAAAATATGTGTGATATGAATGACTCCAGCTATGCGCATGCAACTTGATGTTGCAATCCTCTAGAACATGCACGTGTGAATCCGGCTGCAATCGGCTGTACCCACTTACCTAGGTGTAAGCCCTATTGAACCCAATGGGAGTTACTTCTGAGTAGGCACTTATAGGATTGCATTGTTGGCCCGTCCTGACCGTCAAAGGCAAGCTGGCTGAACCTGATCCATTCTTAATGCATAGCAGTATGGAAGCTAAATCTGCCCTGGCTGTTGTTGTGACAGTGCTCATTCAATAACATTTTAAACAACAAATAAGTTTGTATGAAACAGCACGTTCGTCCAGGTAGCATTTTCTCAGCGGTATTGAGCAAGAAAAGCACTGCTAGGTATTCTTCCTGCGCCTCCCTGAAGTCTTCAGTATAGAACTGCAGTTATTTTGATAAGGCAGCAATAACAGCCACTGTAGCTGTCTGGAGAGGCCATAAAATGCAGTAAAAACGTAAGAGGAGTACTGAGTTTGCTATTTAGTATATGGGATGACTCTAGTCCTCTTCAGGCATTCATCTTATGAGCTCAGTCAATGGAGGCACAAGGGGGAGAGAGTAGGAATGAGTGTGTGAGCTCCCCCTCCATGAATTGGAGAGTGAATGTCTGCAGCAGAGGGCCTGTTTGACCTGTGTAGGTTACTTGCCTGATGTCGAATTCTGGAAAACCGGGGTTCTGCCTTTCCTGGAAGCCTCCATGAGTACCCAAGGCTCTAATCTGCAGACGGCCGCTCTCGAACCATGTGCCCACGGGGGATTAGGTTATTTGTCACAATGGTTATATTACTTCTGTTGTCAGAGGCAATATTTATTTATTAAAAAACTACTTTAAAAAATCTTATCTTTTTGTTTATTTGATCAGGAGCATACAATTCAGTGAAGGGACGCGGGTGGCGCTGTGGGTTAAACCACAGAGCCTAGGACTTGCCGATCAGAAGGTCGGGGGTTCGAATCCCCGCGACGGGCTGAGCTCCCGTTGCTCAGTCCCTGCTCCTGCCAACCTAGCAGTTCGAAAGCACGTCAAAGTGCAACTAGATAAATAGGTATCGCTCCGGCGGGAAGGTAAACGGCGTTTCCGTGCTCTGCTCTGGTTCGCCAGAAGCGGCTCAGTCATGCTGGCCACATGACCCGGAAGCTGTACGCCGGCTCCCTTGGCCAGTAAAGCGAGATGAGTGCTGCAACCCCAGAATTGGCCATGACTGGACCTAATGGTCAGGGGTCCCTTTACCTTTACCTTATACAATTCAGTGACATACAGGAATAAAGACAAATCAATTAATGCAATTAAATTAATGCAAAGACCTTGAACTTGGCCAGTGCAGATGTTTTAACAATGGTCACATGTTGTCAGCCATGTTCCCCTGTCAGCAGCCTGGCTGCCACATTCGGCATCAGGTAGAGCTTCTGGGCCAGGCTTGAGGGCAGACCCACATAGAGCATATTGCAGTAATCTAGCCTCAGTGCTACCAACACGTAGGCTTACAGTGAGTAGCCTATCCCTGTCCTGAAACAGTCATCACAGGCAAGCCAGATGAAGCCATAGCTGGAGACTGCGAGTCAGAGAGACCTGGTACATGTCGGTTTTGCCATAGTTATCTGTTTGGCCACTGTGAGAACAGAATGCTGGACTAGACAGGCCTTTGGTCTGATCCAGACGGACTGCCTTTTCTGCTTCCAGAAGGGCTCACGTGGAATTTCCAGGGTCAGAGAGAAAATGCCACTGAATTCCAGCTGCCATGAAGGAAGAGCAAGGGAGGCCCTGCTTTTGGCATCCCCAGAGGCCCCCGTGGGAAACGGGATGCGGGGGGGGAGGGGGAGGGTAGTTGTGTTGTAGATGGACCTTTGGGTCCAGTCCATCAGGGCTGCTCTGAAGCTAAGAGCAAGTAACTGCTGGGGAAAAATGTTTGGTTCTCAAACTTTGTCCCAGCACTCGCATGCCCCAGTGAGGAGAGGGCCAAATGAAGAGGAATCGGTAATGGAAAGGAAACTCTGATCCTTAACATGTATAATTCAATATTTGGGAGCAGGGAGGGAGGGGTGACCACACCCGTTCCAGCCCAGTCATTATGTTTCTGCAATGAAAACCTGAATCCGTTTAACCAATGTGATTTTTTCAACCCCTTGAACCGTCCACATGCTGAAGAGTAGTCCCAGCTTTCAGAATTGCCTTGTTCTTTTTAATTGCTTTGTGTTTGTTGCCACTTCCATTTTCAGCTGTGTCCTCCTATTGTGCATGGTCCCCCGTCCCCCCCGGCCTTGCTCATTAACACTGAAAAGCATTTCCATCACTTTCTTAGGCAAGTTATCTTTCCCTTTAGAACAAGCAAATCTTGGTTCATCATTATTTTTTTTTTGCTTCTTTTAAGACTTGGGGCTCGTCCCCACTTCCACTTGACTCATGCTTTCCAGGTATAGGTCCAAGTGGTTTTCCGTTCTTTTCTAGGGAAAACCTGCTCTTCAGGGTTGAATCAGAGCAAACGTCAATCCAGAGAACACGTGAATTGCTGTTTGCTCGGATAGAGTGCTAAAAAGTGGTTTTCCTTGGTGGGGAAAGCAGCAGAGACCACAGCTAGTGAGGATGACCCCATCGTGAACTAATCTCTGCTTTGAAAGTAAGAAAAGAGTAGTTGGGCTGAGAATGACACCTCTTTCTAAATCTCCTAGGAAGTGCTTCACCCGTTATGAAGCTGGCTTAATGGATTGATCCAATTTCAGGCTCGCGTGTGTACGGTTCAAAGCATTTTGTTGAATTAGCTGAGCCACGTTTGGAATGTCTCGCAAGGTCACGTCTCATGCAACTGGGCCGGTGCATCGATATTCCTCCCCTCCTTCTTTCTTCCAGAAATAGGCTATGAAGGGTTGGCCAAATCAGCTGGGGGACGTGATGGCACGATGATCTGCCAGTCTCAATCATTTGAGAATGGAGAGCAGCTGGGGAGCAGCCTCTAGAATGAGTGGGAAAGAGAGCCTGCAGCCAGGAGACTATTCATCTTTTCCAAGGGTACAATGAAGGGGTAATATGGCCCTCTAACAGAAAACTTGGGTGTTGAGGGCCAATGGGCTTGGAGCCAAAAAGGGCCCACTGAGAAACAAGTGTGAGATAAACTGGCATGTTTGGTGGAACTTTGAGTTTTGCAGACATACATTTTAAAAACAAACAAACAAGAACCCCAAGGGATACCCACCCACACCCACCCACCCACCCACCCACCCAAGAAAAGCCCCCTTAAGGTGCTCAGTGTCTATGGAATGTGTCATTTGGAAAAGAAAAACGGAAATGGTGTGGGGTTGGGACTTTTGCCTAAAAGCAGTTTCTGTGCAGTGACAGCTTGCCAGCATATTCTGTCTTTGGTATAACTGGAGATAGTTCCAAGTTATGCCATTATGAACCCGTACAGTACCCAAGTCAGTTAAAAAGTAGATTCTGAGAGCTGCAGATACCTTACACGGTGCTACAATCTTGGTGGCTGTGCCTTCCTCCAACAAGTACATTAAAGCCTAAAACGACCAGCCTTTAAAATGATGTAGTGATTTATTTATTTTTTAATGCAGCATTAAAAAATGGTACTAGAAAGTTCAGACCTGAGTAAGTACAGTTGACATTTGCAGAGAGCATGCACTGGGAATTGCTGGAAAAACCAGTGCTTCCTGAAAGCCTGCAAGGATTAGCTGTTCCTTATAGTTTGCAGTAAGATGTGTTCACTGTGGAATGTGGTTTTGTTATGGACATTTATGTACATGCAGAAGGGGACGGGTGTAAGGAACTGTTTTTCCAAGTATAACCTTGTTTACATGGAGGGCCAAGAAGTATAATTTCTTCATCAAAGGCTGATATGCAAGTGATTAAACATGATTGCTCAGCGGTAGCCACTTCAAATTGGCCTTCACAATGTCCATTGTAAAGCTGTGGGCAGGATTAAGCTGAGTTGTGCACAAGCAGACCTTGTTCTACTTGTGCACACTCTATTTAATGTTAGGATTCTTTCCACCGTGTTGCAGTCATGGGATGTTGCAGTTATGACGGTGTATGTTTTCAGTCCACATTGTGGGAAGTGACGGAGACAGGATGTTTATATTACTGTGTTTTGTCCTTTTGTTCTTTCTCTTTGCTGTCTGATGCTGAAGAGGAAGGAGCTGAGTTGCGATGCTCTGAGTGTGTATATGTAAATAAACGTAGTATAGCCAAAAGCTGCGCTACTGAGTCTGTACGCTAACTGCCTATACTCTGCTGATGCTGAAGTGTGCTGATGCCTCTTGGTATCAGTTGCTGTGATGGAAGCTTTTGAATCTCCCGAACGACCGACCAGGAGGGAGAGAACATGCCAGTCGGGTATGTGTCTCTGCTAGATTCCTACTTGTGTGTAGGACCTCCTGACACTTAATTCTGCCCTGATTCAACCCATTTCTTTTCTTTGACCATTTACTAGTGGGTGGAGGTCTAGTTTCAAAAAAAGAAATGTGCCTCTAAAATGGAGGAAAAGGGGAGATTTTGGAAGTGTGGGGGCAGGGGTTTGAGACGTAACCACACAGCCCCTTCCCAATATTCTTAAGAGATGAGTATTTATTTATTTTGGTTATTATTTGTTAATTTATATACTGCTTAATACAGAATATAAAAACTGACTATGCATAATTGTTAAAATACAGAATGATTTAAAAAGGCAGCATAATAAAAATACTCAGTAAAGCAATCCCATTAAAAAAATAAATAAAACTAATGGACCTAAGTTAGTGCATTTAGTGCTGTACTGAAAATTTCTCCTTCGGTTCTTCCCTCACCAACCACTCTTCAGTTAATGAGGGGGTGGGGAAACACATTCAGAAAACGAAAGAAAATTACAGTTGTCTGTACTTCGGCACCTTTCTGGGTGCCTGTGCTTTGTGAAAAAAGCAGAGTTCCACTAACTTATTACATGGCTATGGTACTGGATATTAAGGAATTGAGGATACATTAGGATCCAAAGATGCTGATACAAAACTTACTCTCCCACGCAAAATAAACATGCAGTTGTTTGCATCCGTGCCTCTGGAGCCCCCATTGATTAATCTCTCCCAGTAATGTTTGCTCTGAGGGTATTTCTGGTCCTGCTAGCTGAGATGCTTTTTATCTGAAAATGCTTTGGACAGAGAACATGGGATATAATGCTCACAAGCCTATACACCAACACTGAGCGATGCCTGCTACTTGTGTCAAATTTAGGAAATTGCACGGTGTCCCTTTGAAGCAACAGCTAAGTGATAAAAACCACTTCGGACCTGCAGGTTGAGAGATTGAAGCTCAAGTGAACAGTGCACTTCAGTACTGCACAGTTATCTTTGTTTGAACGTCCAGCATCTGGAAGGTGTTTACTGTGTTTTCAGTGATTCAGAATTACCGGGTGTCCCTGCCATTCTCAAGGGCCTTTAGTTTGTGAGTGTGGATTGAGAAATGCTTTTGAAGTACAAGCAAAAGCCAAGATTGAGTCAACTCTTTTTATGTGCTCACCTGAAGCTGTGTGACTTGTGTGTGTGTGTTTTTGATGCTGCTTTTAGGGGAAGCTGAATGCATTGTATCAATGCTTGGTTCTGCTTTTTCTGTTGCAGGAACCAGCTACTGCACTGGCAGGCCGTAGGAAACCCAAGATGCAGAGGGACCTGGAAGCGAGTTCGCCAGCTGCACACTTGCTCCTGCCCTTCTGTCCACAGCTTCTTGTTCATCTGACTTTCACATAGTTGTCCCTCTGCCTTGAGTCTGCATCTCCTCCTTGGTTCTCCTGAATAGAAGTTCAGCTGTGAACAGCCACAGTTGGGATGCCAACGGGTATAGTTTAAGATCAAGGGTACTTCCTGCTTTAAGGAACTGTCACTTGGTGACACAGGACATTCTCCTTGAGACTCAAGATGAAGTTACTGGCATGTTAAAGAAGCAGGTAATCTGTGCAGGAGAGACTTGGGAGAGTCAGGTTTGAGGCTGGCAGGCCAACAAGACCATGCTGACAAGTGAGTAGTAGAGATCAAAACTTAGGGAGAACCCTTGGATTGGACCATAGACCCATCTTGTCCAGCCTCCTGTTCTCACAGTGGCCAACCAGATGCCTGGGAGATGAGTGAGCTCATCCCAAACTCGGGTTGATTCTGAAATGTGCTGAGTCATCAGTTTTTTGGATTTGGAGATAATGTCATGTCACTTGGTCAGCCCCACCTCCCACAGCCCCCTAAGCCTCCATCCCCTTCTACACTGTCTGGGTTTGCTGCAGTGATGCTCCAGAACGAATGAGGCACTATAAGAAGAAATCTGATCTTTTCCATCTTTCTTCTTCCCCTGTTCTCCAGCATCGTTTTCTTGGTATGCTGCCTTTCCGTAGTTAAAACTATGCTCAACCCAAGCCCATTATGATCACAGGGAGTAGAAAAAACCCACTGGCCTTTGGGAAATGTATTGGCCAGGCTATAAGCTGGGGCTTGTAATGTCCACCACTCCTTTGACTCAGGTTTTTACAAGCCCCTGAAACTCAAGCCTGAAAGTGGAGCACCTTGGTCAGAGTCATTGGTCAGGGCTGGGTAGATTCTGCATGTGTAGGAGGAAAGGGTTGAATGTGTGATACTGAGCAGAGAACTCTGCTTCCTATGAATGCTGGAGATTCTCAGGAACATAGGAAACTGCCCATTTGCCTATTTAGCTCAGAATTGTCTGCACTGACCGGCAGCCCAACATGGAGATGCTGGGAATTGAACTAATCCAAAATGCGGCAGCTAGACTAGTGATTGGGAGCAGTCGCTGAGACCATTTAACCAGGCCTTTGGTTGATTTGATTGACATCCTGTGCCCTTTTAAAATGTGTTTTTTTCAGGGGGGCAGGGCGGTTATTGGGTTGTTGTTTTTATTTTGATTGTGTATTTTGTGGTTTTATATTTTGATTTTATTCTGTGAACTGCTCTGAGACCTCCGGGTATAGGGCGGTATATAAATTCAATAAATAATAGTAATAATTACATAACACCAATCCTAAAGGATCTTCACTGGCTCCCAGGACGTTTCCAAGCACAATTCAAAGTGTTGGTGCTGACCTTAAAGCACTCAACAGCCTTGGACCTGGATATCTGAAGGAGCGTCTCCACCCCCATCATTCAGCCCAGACACTGAGATCCAGCTCCTAGGGCCTTCTGGCAGTTCCCTCCCTGCAAGAAGTGAAGTTACAGGGAACCAGGCAGAGGACCTTCTTGGCAGTGGCGCCCTCCCTATGGAATGCCCTCCTATCAGATGTCAGGGAGATAAAGAATTACACAACTTTTAGAAAACATCTGAAGGCAGCCCTGTTCAGGGAAGTTTTTAATGTCTTACATTTTTTTATTTCTTATCTTTTGCTGGAAGCCGCCCAGAGTGGTTGAGGAAACCCAACCAGATGGGCGGGATATAAACAATAAAAATTATTATTATTATTATTATTATTATTATTATTATTATTAACCTGGGGCCTTCAGCATGCAAAGCAGATGTTGTACCCTTCACCCACAATTTTATATTTTAAATGCAAGTTTCTAGCCCCCATGGCTGCTGCCAACATATGCTTAGAATATCTGGTGAAATCTTGCAAGGTTAGAGCAGGTGGTTGAGTAAGATTTCCATGAGAGCAGGGCTTCAGTTTTATGGGTAGCTTCTTCCTTTTCCTTGAACTAGCAGTAAGTAGCAGGAAAATTTCTGCATCCCCTTGTCTGCAATTAATTAATTACAGGGGATATAGCTGCACATTATCCTTAAATTGGTGGATAAAATGAGTTCTCAAAGAAGCTTTAGCCTTTGGGCCAAATTATCCATTCTTCAGGTGTTCCATGATATGTATTCCTCCCCCCATAAAGGGTTGTTGGTAGATTTATTTTTCACTTTATTTTATTGAAACAATTTACAGTATATACCACTTAACTCCAATAGTTTCTAAGCGGTTTACAAGGATGGGGGAGTTTTGAACACCCACACTCTTAATTGCTGCAACTCCAGTTAAATTTGGCTTTGGGCACTTGCTTTAAACTGAAAAGAAAAACAACATACATTGATTTACTGATTGGGGGGAAGGAATTCTGCCACGGATCTCCTGCCTAACATGAACTTTGGCCTAATGTCCCTGTGTACTCTTTTTGCAACTGTGGAGCACCCTGCCAGATTATCTGAGGAACAAGGAAATGGAATATAGGCTTGGGCTAGTTCCCATTGATTGATTGAGCCTTACAAACCACTCAAAACATCCTTGTGAAGCTTAGATACACTTGACCTTTCACTGGTGGAAGTTGGGGAGGTCAAGAACTTGGCTGACTTGTGAAGTGCCTTACACAGTGTCAATCTAGACATGTCGCTTGAGATCTGGGATTACAAATGCCTATTGTTTAAGAAGGAAAAAGAAACAATATTTGGAGCCCTAGAATTGGATTAGTACCATGGTGCTGGTGCTCCTCCCCATTTTCCTGAATAAATATTGCCACCGCCCCCCTGAATTGTAATTTAGGAAATTGGTGGTGGGGAGATCATTCTCCTTCTGACTGCCACAGTTCCAGACGCCACAACTTCCTTAGAATTTGCTATTAACTTCTTAAAACAAACAGGAGGTGATTGTACTCATGGATCTTCTCTGCCATCTCTAGTTGTACTCACACTTACAAAGGATACACACTGCTGTGCATGTTTACTCAGAAGGAAGTGCCACAGAGTTTAGTGGGACTTGCTCCCAAGCTTTAAACTAATGCACACACCTTCAGGAAAGTCTTTTTGAACTCAATAGGGCTCACCTCTGGGTTGGCATCTGTCTGTCTTGGGAGACAGTGGAAGAGAGCACCTTTGGAGGTGAAGTCAAACTGTTGGAAGGTTGCTGCACCTGCTGTGGCTGTAGAGACTAATATGGGAGAGACATGTTTTGTTGCAGCTGGGACAGATGAAGGTGTCTGATTATATTGACTGGGTAGACATAGTATTGCCCCGTTCAATAGAAAAAAAATCTTCTGTGCACCTGTGGCATGTCAAACCTTATTCTGAAATAATTTGGACCTGGAAACACTGGTAGTTTTTTTTCATTTGCAGGCTTTGTGTTTTGAAAGAGCCCATTAAAATGAATATTTATGGAAAGTTCTACCTATTGCTGGTTTTTTTCTTCCTGGTAAGGGGAATGGTTGCATTTACAGCATTGGAGTTGGCAATTCTCATGTTTTCCTCTGAAGAAGTGGTGGTGGGGGAACTGGGTGGGGATTTCAGCATGGCCGTCTAGACCAAGAGACCAAGAAACCAAGAGATGGGGAAACATCTGGAGGACCACAACTTCCATCATCCATGCTGGCTGGGGATGATGGGATCTGGAGTTCAGTAAAAGGAATCATCTGCCATTGGAACAGTCATGATGCTTTATGGTCTCATATTGAACCAGAGAACATTTTAAAGGAAACTTTGGGGTGTTGTCATACAAAATGCAAATGTTATATTTTTGTGTGTGTGTGTTTGGGGGGGGATTGCGTCTCCAGTCTTCAACTTTTCAAATGTTAAAATAGACATGCGGTACAGTCCTGTACTATGTTGGAATGGGGATTTGGTGTTTGAAAGTGCGTCCTCATTTCAGTAGGGAGAGGTGTTTGATTCCATTCACACTTAAATGCAAGCCTACCAGATTCATACTTTTCAAAACAATATGTGATTAGAAATGCAACCATCTTTTGAAACTGGCACTTCTCCAAATTTTACAGTGAAGTTCTCCAGACACTGAATGTATATGTATGTTTTTGTACACAAGAGAAAATTGTGTATAAAGTGCACATATTAGACAACATCACATACAAAATGCATTTTGTTATGGAAAATGGCATACAAAGATGTGTAAGCAAGGAAAAATTCACTTTAAAATGCAGACAGTTTTTAATGAGAATTTTTAAAAAATCTACAAATTGCTGTGGAGATGGTGGCGAAGATTGGAAAAAAATATGAAATTGAGAGAACCAGAATTGACAGATCCATTCCTTTCCAGCCAAGAGTCTGTGGCTGGGATCATCCTAGACAATTCATGTGTGCAACTACTTCTCATTGAATTTCTCTGCAAATACTGCGAGTTCAAAAAAGGAGGCCTGTAATCTACAGAATTGGTATTGCAGTGAAATCCAGCGAATTTATCTTGTCCACAAGAGGGCAGCATCCACTCCTTGCTTTAATATCAGCAGTAAGACCATAATAAAAGTAAATTTTATTTGTTTTTAAAAAGGAGTATAAGTGGGAAAGTAAATTGATTTTAAAATGTGGGGGACACAGATGTTTGAAATGGGACACATTTTTGCCTACAAGTTAAAGCAGACATACAACACAAGACACTTTTATCCCCATATATTCCTGCAATATGCCCTATATACAATAGTGTTTTGGGGTTTTTTTTAAATTAAAAAATGTAAATCTAATGCTATTAGAAAAACAGCGTTTAAATCCTGCTTAAAATGTCTTTACACTATAAACAAGACCGACGGCCTTGCATGCAACAGTGCGTTTTCCAGAGATGGCAAATGTTCCCATGACAACGCCATGACCTCTTTGCCATTGGCTATCAGTGAGAGAGCAGCTGCCATTGTGAATGGAGGAAACCCATAGCCCCAGTCATGTATTTGTGTGAAGAACCTCCTTTCCATTACGGGATTGTATCTATATGGTAGCCTTTGGCTGGAGAGATTTACAGTGGTACCTCGGGTTACATACACTTCAGGTTACATACGCTTCAGGTTACAGACTCTGCTAACCCAGAATAGTACCTCAGGTTAAGAACTTTGCTTCAGGATGAGAACAGAAATCGTGCTCCGGTGGCGTGGCAGCACTGGGAGGCCCCATTAGCTAAAGTGGTGCTTCAGGTTAAGAACAGTTTCAGGTTAAGAACGGACCTCCGGAATGAATTAAGTTCTTAACCCGAGGTACCACTGTACCTTCATCCAAGAGCATGGTTCGTTCTACTTGGCAGTGGCTGATGGCTACAAAGATGGGCAATTGCACCCACACAATAATCTGCCACAGTAGGCATACAGAGTTGTGCAGTCTGTTCGAAAGTAGGTTTACTCTGAAATATGTTTCACTGTGTTCAAAGGGGTGGTGTGGTGGGTTGAGGTGGTGCATCTACTGGCATAATATTGTAGCCTTATATAGGATGGCAGAATACTTGCATCGGACCTGTTTCCTATTCAGGTTGAACACAGAGCACCAGGTATGTAGCATGCAGGCACCAACAGTTGGAGGAGCAAAGGCAGAGATAAATCACTGTGGTTTAAAGGGTTAATTCTGTTATTGATATGGCGGACAGCAGATTGGCAGGAGGTTCTGGTCAGCTGGGAGTTAGCTGTCAGTGAGGAAGATGGTTGGTATTTGATAGCTGGAGGAATTGGAAATAAAAGTAGTTCTGAAGGCATTCTTCCCCTGCGTAGGCCTGAACCCTGTACATAAAGACAAATCTCTGTTTTATTTCTCCTCCGTGTATACACTGTTCTTGGTCCCTTTGTTACCGGTGAAGGATTATCAGTTTCTTTTTCTCTCTGTATTCTGTCTGTTTTATTCCAGTCGCAAAGCGCAACACAAGCCTACGCCTCCCTTTACGTACTTGTTTATTTCAGAGGTTTCCTACCTACCCTTAGAACAAAGAATGCACTTTGGGCTGCAGAAGAGGTCCTGCAAAAAGCACCCAAATCTTAAACTACCAGGTGCCAGGCCAGATGATGGCAACTATCGACACACTTCTTGTTATGTACTGAAGTTCTCACCCTGGGCCAGCAGGGGGATACTGTAGATAGTTTTCACTCAGGTCCACATATGCAAATAAGGGATTGAAAGTGACGTTCAGTGATTGGATAGTTACAGAAAGTTGTTACAGTTGCGTTCTACTGGAGCTCTATATAAGCAGGCTGGCTGAACCCTTCAGTTCAGTTCAGTTCAGTTCAGGCCTGTGAATAAACAAGAGCTGTTTGAAGAATCGCTGTGTCGTCTGATATGTTCACCCACAACTTAACACTTCTATCTAGAGGAAGCCCCACATCCTGGGAGCTGCCCCAGAGAATGCTCTCTCTAGGGCTGCCATCCCTCACGCTTCTGAGGGAGAAACGTCCATGGGAAGAGTATCATGTGCACCCAGGGCCTCCTTCAAGGGAGGCAGGTAAGGACTTTCCGGTGGTCCTGTTAAGGTTCGTGAGGAGGGCCTACCTGGCAGAGAAGCTGACTTTTTCTCTTACTCCTCCTCCAACTGTAAAGCTCATTGGCACCCGCCCAGCCACCGCCATTTTGTTTCTGTCTCACACAGCACTGCAAACGTTGTGACTGGCACATGGTGGGAAGGCTAAAATGATGGCCACCAGGAGAATTGCAGCTCTCCGTCAGGGGATCCCAAGACTGGGCGGGCATCAGTGGGCCCTGTTGCCATTGGACAACTATGCCCATATCTCTTTTGTTGTTATTGTATTTGCATAGTCCAGAATTAAGCCTGGTCTTCACATGCAGCTGCATACACACTGTACATTTAAAGCACATCTGTCAGGGAACTGCCATCGGAGCTGGAAGCGGAGGGAAGGCTCCAAAGGGATGGCGGAGAGGGTCCCAGTAGGGAGAGAGGGAGCCCGTCTGCTGGGGAAGGAAATCAGCGTAACACCAGTAGAGAAGGGGGGCAGATGGGGGAATCGGAGAGGAGGCTCCAAGACTCCTCGCCGGAGACCAGCGGAGAGAGTACGGGTACTCCACTGCCCACACCCTCCCTGCGCAGAAGACTTCCGCGCAGGGAGAGTAGAAGGAGACTTGGCGTCAAGGAATTTTTGTGCTGGAAGAAGTTTAAGAAACGCCCACTGACGGATTCTGCCAGTGACTGAGACAGTCACGATGCTGGAGGCTGTTCAGTCAGAAAGGGTTTAACCAGGTAACCTCGCCAGCAGTGGCGGCAACTTACGCACGAGCAACCCCTAAATCCATTACAACATCCTATGGCTGATCAATCAATATCACATTATTATTATTATTCTGAGTCCCTGTATTATTTCCATTCAAGCTTATCCACAAGTATCCAAATGCTTATATAAAAATATCCATCAAGCTACAGTATTACAGTATGAAAATTTTGCTGCTATAAATTTAATAAATCAACAACAATCACTTTTTAATAAGTAAATGGATAAAGAACCTTTCTTTATTCTCATTATAAATCCTCCAGTTATTCCTGAGTTATTTATCCAATTTATTGGTCCTGGAATATAATACTATAATACTTGAAAAATGTATCCAGGCATTTCTTTATTTGTTTAGTTATACTGTGATTAAATAAAAAGGGCTCAAATTATTATATCAACTAATTATACTGCACAAAGACTCCCTGTTTCCTTTTCTATACTTTCCCAGTCAGGAGAAACTTGAAGGCCTTTTTCTTTATCCAAGCTCCCCCTATGAATAGTTGGCATTTTATGCTGCACCTGTGGTTTGATACGTGTTTTTATCTTCTACTCTATTTTGTTTTTTTTATTTTGTTGATATATCTGTTACTCCTTGACTATATGCTGTTTTACCATTTTATAGTTTCCTGCTGCCTTTGTGCTATTCATTATTGCCTGTTCATTTGTATATTTTATTATACATTTTGTTATTTCCAAAACTTATTTCCTGTTTTTTAAGCTGAGTAGCATTTAAATCAGTTTGCAACAGAATAAAAACAAACAGACAATTTTGAGCTGGGGTTTAACCTGGCAAAATTCATTCCTGCTTTGATGGAACCATTTCTTAACAAGCAGCCCAAAATGTAATTAAGACTTAGCCACAGAACCTCAGCAGCTTCACCAGCCAAATCCTGGCTGTAGTCCTCATAGATTTCTTCTGTCTGGTTAGTTAAAAATAATCCTAAATCACTTCATAGCAGATGTGAAGATTGTGTAATGGCACATACAGTTACTTCAGCAGTTTAATATTACTACCAAACTAAGAGTGTCATTAGACTTTTTCATAGGAAAAGGTTTCATACTCACACCCAAAACTAATACTGCTTGGTTGCAACAACACAGAGTGTTTCATCTAAAGCAGTGATGGCCAAACTTGGCCCTCCAGCTGTTTGGGGACTACAGTTCCCATCATCCCTGACCACTGGTCCTGT